CTGCGGAGAGACAAAGGCGGAAGTGGGCGGGGGGGCGGGAGGGGGGGTGGGGCTGGTGGGTGGGGTGTATAGTAGTGTAGTGTATAGTGTAGTGTGTAGTGTAGTGTATAGTGTAGTGTATAGTGTAGTGTATAGTAGTGTAGTGTATAGTGTAGTGTATAGTGTAGTGTATAGTGTAGTGTATAGTGTAGTGTATAGTGTGTAGTGTAGTGTATAGTAGTGGTGTATAGTAGTGGTGTATAGTAGTGTAGTGTATAGTAGTGTAGTGTATAGTAGTGTATAGTGTAGTGTATAGTAGTGTATAATGTATAGTAGTGTAGTGTATAGTGTAGTGTATAGTAGTGTAGTGTATAGTAGTGGAGTGTATAGTATAGTGTATAGTGTAGTGTATAGTAGTGTAGTGTATAGTGTAGTGTATAGTATAGTGTATAGTAGTGGAGTGTATAGTAGTGTAGTGTATAGTGGTGTAGTGTATAGTAGTGTAGTGTAAAGTACTGTCTAGTAGTGTAGTGTATAATAGTGTAGTAGTGTAGTGTATAGTAGTGTAGTGTATAGTAGTGTAGTGTATAGTAGTGTAGTGTATAGTAGTGTAGTGTATAGTAGTGTAGTGTACAGTAGTGTAGTGTATAGTGTAGTGTATAGTGTAGTGTATAGTAGTGTAGTGTATAGTAGTGTATAGTGTAGTGTATAGTAGAGTAGTGTATAGTAGCGTAGTGTATAGTAGCGTAGTGTATAGTAGCGTATTGTAGTGTAGTGTATTGTAGTGTAGTGTATAGTGTAGTGTATAGTGTAGTGTATAGTAGTGTAGTGTATAGTAGCGTAGTGTATAGTAATGTAGTGTATAGTGTAGTGTATAGTGTAGTGTATAGTAGTGTATAGTGTATAGTAGTGTATAGTGTAGTGTATAGTAGTGTAGTGTATAGTAGCGTGTCTCTCTCTGTGTCTCTCTCTGTGTCTCTCTGTGTCTCTCTGTGTCTCTCTGTGTCTCTCTCTGTGTCTGTCTCTGTGTCTGTCTCTGTGTCTCTCTCTATGTTTCTCTCTGTGTCTCTCTCTGTGTCTCTCTCTGTGTGTCTCTCTCTGTGTGTCTCTCTCTGTCTCTCTCTGTGTTTCTCTCTGTGTCTCTCTCTGTGTTTCTCTCTGTGTGTCTCTCTGTGTCTCTCTCTGTGTGTCTCTCTCTGTCTCTCTCTCTCTGTCTCTCTCTCTCTGTGTGTCTCTCTCTCTCTGTGTCTCTCTCTGTGTCTCTCTCTGTGCGTGTCTCCCTGTGTGTGTCTCTCTCTGTGTCTCTCTCTCTCTGTCTCTCTCTGTCTCTCTCTCTGTCTCTCTCTCTGTCTCTCTCTCTCTCTCTCTCTCTCTGTGTCTCTCTCTCTCTCTGTCTCTCTCTCTCTGTCTCTCTCTCTCTGTCTCTCTCTCTCTGTCTCTCTCTCTCTCTGTCTCTCTCTCTGTCTCTCTCTCTGTCTCTCTCTGTGTCTCTCTCTGTGTCTCTCTCTGTGTCTCTCTCTGTGTATCTCTCTCTGTCTCTCTCTCTCTGTCTCTCTCTGTGTCTCTCTCCCCGTGGTGGTAGCTGCGTGGAATTTGTCTCCGGACACTCCTGAGTTTCCCCGTTCTCATTTAGAATCAACGTCGCATTCGCGTTTTGAGATATTTGGCGGCTGCTATGAATTTCCAGCCGGTTGGTTGAACTCCGATCATTTGTGATGGCCAGGCCAAGGCTTCTGATATGGCTCAGTGGGGTACTTCCCTGCTAACAATAAACACAGTTCAGTTTTAGAATGGGTTTGTTTCTGAGTACGACGAGTCTCTATGAATATGAGTCTCTAAGTATTGGTCTCTATGGCTCTCTGTGGATCTCTACGAGTCTCTGGATCTCTATGTGAGTTTATGGGTCTGTGAGTCTGTGGAAACACGGCTGAGAGTATTTGTCTGGGGCTATAAATATCCACGTGATGATGGAGATGATGATGTCAGCGACTTGGTTGAACTGCTGTCATGTTTAGCATGAGTCTCTATGAATGTGGGTCTCTATGAGTGTGGGTCTCTATGAGTGTGGGTCTCTATGAGTGTGGGTCTCTATGAGTGTGGGTCTCTATGAGTGTGGGTTTCTATGAGTGTGGGTCTCTATGAGTGTGGGTCTCTGTGCGTGTGGGTCTCTATGAGTGTGGGTCTCTATGAGTGTGAGTCTCTATGAGTATGAGTCTCTATGAGCGTGGGTCTCTATGAGTATGGGTCTCTATGAGTATGAGTCTCTATGAGCGTGGGTCTCTATGAGTATGGGTCTCTATGAGTGTGGGTTTCTATGAGTGTGGGTCTCTATGAGCGTGGGTCTCTATGAGCGTGGGTCTCTATGAGCGTGGGTCTCTATGAGCGTGGGTCTCTGTGAGTGTGGGTCTCTATGAGTATGGGTCTCTATGAGTGTGGGTCTCTATGAGTGTGGGTCTCTGTGCGTGTGGGTCTCTATGAGTGTGGGTCTCTATGAGTGTGAGTTTCTATGAGTATGAGTCTCTATGAGCGTGGGTCTCTATGAGTATGGGTCTCTATGAGTGTGGGTTTCTATGAGCGTGGGTCTCTATGAGCGTGGGTCTCTATGAGCGTGGGTCTCTATGAGCGTGGGTCTCTATGAGCGTGGGTCTCTATGAGTGTGGGTCTCTATGAGTATGGGTCTCTATGAGTGTGGGTCTCTATGAGTGTGGGTCTCTATGAGTGTGTGGGTCTCTATGAGTGTGGGTCTCTGTGAGTGTAGGTCTCTATGAGCGTGGGTCTCTATGAGCGTGGGTCTCTATGAGTGTGGGTCTCTATGAGTGTGGGTCTCTATGAGCGTGTCTCTACGAGTATGGGTCTCTGTGAGTGTGGGTCTCTATGAGTGTGGGTCTCTATGAGTGTGGGTCTCTATGAGCGTGGGTCTCTATGACTATGGGTCTCTGTGAGCGTGGGTCTCTATGAGTGTGGGTCTCTGTGAGCGTGGGTCTCTATGAGTATGGGTCTCTATGAGTGTGGGTCTCTATGAGTGTGGGTCTCTATGAGTATGGGTCTCTGTGAGTGTGGGTCTCTGTGAGTGTGGGTCTCTGTGAGTAAAGGAGTCACATGGCTCAGTGGGGCTCTGCCTGGTAACAATGAACATCGTTTTATAGGGCAAGGAGTTTATAGAAGCGAGCAGTTATACACAAAAACAAAGGTCCCCCATATAGCCTTAACAGACTGTAGGGGCATCTATGAAGGCCGGCACGGCACACGAGGGGGTGGGTGGCCAGCACCACGTCCGACCGCCTTTGTCTCCCCAGTGGCGATGTTTACGCACCGCACCAGGTACTCATTTGAGGCTGAGTCGACCTAAGGGGAGGACCAGGACCGGTTCAGATAATCGTCACAGGTGTTGGCCGTGAGCGGGAATTAAACCCGGGTCGCCGGGTTCGTAGCGCAGCGTAGTGCTAACCGCTACACTACCGCTACCCACAGACACACTCACACACACATACACAGACACACACAGACACACACCCACATATACACAACAATAACAACCGCCATTCGCCACTAAGTGGTGGTGACGTCACCACGATGCTTGTGCCAGGCTATGTGCACCCTGAGGCCACGTGAAGTGTCGAACGCCCGCTGGCAGGAGGTCACGGGGCAGACCCAGGTGCCACGGGTCGACTGACTGAGATGACTGAGATGACTGGCTGATGCACCACCTGTGCCCCCTACTGTGCCAACTTGCTGTGCTTTAGCCACCCGGCGCGCCGCTCGTTGTTGTGAGCGTCGCTCCTCCGCCCTCCGTTGTTGTTGGAGGGCGACTGCCTCCAACTGCCCAGTAGCGTCCTTCACGAGCCTCCTCCACAGAGGCCGATCTTGACACCGCTGGTACCAGTCATCGGCAAGTCCACTCAGCTCCACGTCCTCCTGTACCACATCACTCCATCTCTTCTCTAGCCCGTGCCGCGCCCGTTTAGCCCCCTCGATCCGGCCGAACAAAAGCTGTTTCGGCATGCGGTGGCTGGGCATGCGGGCTACATGACCCAGCCATTGCAGCCTTCCCCGCCGGAGGAGCTCACCGATGGGACCTTGCCCAGATCTTTCAAGGATTTGTGAGCTCCTCACACAATCCAGTCTGGTTAAACCCAGGATGGATCGTAGGCAGGCCAGCCTAAATGTTTCTAACCGGCGAAGATGTTCCATTAGGGGGTCCACGTTTCGCAAGCGTAGAGAAGGGAGGGAATGACCGTGGCCGAGAAGATCTGAAGCTTAGTGCGGAGCGACAGACCAGGTAGCTTCCACACAGCGTTACGCAACCGATGAAAAGATATTGCCGCTCGACTGATTCGGAGTGAGACCTCTGCTGTTAAACTGGAGCCGTGTACACACATATACACACACTCACAGACACACTCACACACAGACACACTCACAGACACACACACAGACACTCACAGACACACACTCACAGACACTCACACAGACACACTCACAGGCACACAGACACACTCACAGACACTCACACAGACACTCACACAGACACACTCACAGACACACACACAGACACACTCACAGACACTCACACACAGACACACTCACAGACACTAACACACGGTGACCTTCTGAACACGGAGCGTCTAAAGTTTCTAAAGGTAAAAATAAACCCTCTGAATTCAGAGGTTTAAACCCTCTGACCTGGCAAGTCATGGGTGGGCGCGTTGCTTTATTATGAATGAGACCGGGGTCACACGAGTCCAAGGGTAGCCCAGGCCCCGCCCACTGCTCCCCCGCAGCGGCTGTAGCCACGCCTACCCCCTCTCGACCGTAGCCCCTCCCCCGTCTTGCAGCCCCTCCCACAGCTGCTGTGCCCAATCAGCGAAGATCTAGGCCAGCCACACCCACTCCAGCCGCAACCCCTCCCTCTCCACTACAGTCCCCTCCCACAGCTGCCGCGCCCAATCAGCGAGGACCATGCCTCCCCTTCCCGTAACCCACTTACGAAATTGTAGCCCCCCCCCCACAACCATAGCGCC